AACTGTGCACACAGTGTATCAGCACTTAAACGAACCTTTTCTTCCATTATCTCTAGGTCCTTGTTTACCCACCAAGCAGATAGACAGCAAGCTCTCAAAAGGAAAAGGTAGGGCTGGCAAGAAGGCTCAGTGGGTAAAGGGACTTGTCACCAAACCTAATGATGCCATTCGCACACACACACACACACACACACACACACACACACACACACACGCAGAGAGAGAGAGAGAGAGAGAGAGAGAGAGAGAGAGAGAGAAATAAGTAAATGTAATTTAAAACATTATTGAAGAAGGTAAGAGGCACTGGGTGTTCAGTCATCTGGAATGGGACACAGAAGATAGGTCCTCAGGCAGGAGGGAGAAGTAGCTTATGAGTTCTTGCTTCCTTCCCTCAGCCTGCTTTAAGTCATCCTCTCTCCTGGACAAGCTTACCCAGAGCAGCTCATGTGTCTCCCATCTTATGTGGCATTGGTCCAGTCTCATGGGCTCAAAATTGTTAACAAAGGCTGACCTCCAGTTCTTCTAGTTTTAGGCGCCAAACAGAAGGCACTTTATTTTATATTATTAGATATTTAACCACACTAATATGTATCAAGCCCTATTTGAGCTGCTGCAAATGAAGATTTAGGGCATAAAATGAATAAGAAATGACAGGTATGCACACCTTCAATCTCAGCACTTGGGAGGCAGAGTCAGGGGGATCACTGAGTTCGAGGCCAGCCTGGTCTACATAGCAAGTTCTAGGCCAGCCCGGGCTATATAGTGAAACTCTGTCTCAAAAAAAAAAAAAAAAAAAAAAAAAAAAAAAAGTTGGGGGGACTGGAGAGATGGCTCAGTGGTTAAGAGCATTGACTGCTCTTGCAGGGGACCAGGGTTCAGTGCCCAGCACCTACTTGGTAGCTGACAACTGCAGATTACTCCAGTTCCAAGAGATCCGACACCCTCTTCTGGCCTTTTCAGGCATTGCATGACACGGGTGCGCTTTACATATACATACAGGCAATACACTACTATGCATAAAATAAAAATAAATAAAATGTAAAAACCAAAAATAAATAAGTAAAATGGGAAAAATTCATCTTCAACTATGTAATAAATTCAAGGTCAGCCTGGGCTAGATGAAACTGTCTCAAAAAAGAAAAAAGAAACATTCCTCCCTGGGAACCCTTCCCCCCTTTGGTGGTTCCAACTTTTCCTCTTTTCAAAAAAATTATATTTATTTTTATTTTATGTGTATGTGTGATTTGCCTGCATGCTTGTCAGTATACTCATGTCATGCAATGCCTGCAGAGGCCAGAAAAATTCAGATCCCCTGGAATTGGAGTTATGGATGGTTGTTAGCTACCATGTGGGTGCTGGGAACTGAACCGGGGTCCTCTGCAAGAGAAGTCAGTGTTTTTAGCTACTGAGCCATCTCTCCAGAACTCCATCTATTTCTCTCTCTCTCTTTTTGAGACAGGGTCTCCCTGTAGCCCCACCCAGCCTGGAACTCACTATGTAGACCTGGCTGGCCTTGAACTCACAGAGACCCATCTGCCAGGATTAAAGGCGTGCACCACCATGCCCAGCAAGTCCTCCAACTTTTAAATTTACATTCCATCTGCTCAAAAGAATATGACATAGTTGAGGTAGAAAGTATTGACTGTAGTGAAACCAGGGCATCTGAGCAGAACTCCTTAAGGAGAGACATTAGTGGAGACTTGAACTGGCAGAAGAAAGCTGGTTGACCGGGACGATTGAGTGCTGCGGGTGGAGGGAAGGGCACAGGTAAAACCAGCAAAGGAGACAGGACCTTGCTGGGAGGGCAGAAGCCTTTCCTTCCAGCTGAGGTAGGCAGAGTCAGAGGAGCGTGGTGGAGGATGGACAAGTGGGTAGACTTCGAGGCACTGAGGAATTTGAACTTTAACCTGAGGGCAAGCGGAAGCTGCCTGTGGAGAACAACATCTTTCAAAATATACAGGGGGACAAATCTTCAAAATGTGCTCAAAGGCTGGGAGTGCTGTTGCCCCTCCAGTACTGGGGATTAAACCCAGTGAACAAGCGCTCTGACAGGTACGGCCTCAGCCTTTTGTTTGTGTTTTAAAAAATTATTTTATTTATTATTATTTTTAAAAAATATTTTATTTATTATTTTTATTTTATGTGTATGTGTGTATTATCTGCATGTGTGTAAGTTAACCCGTGTTGTGCAATGCCTGCGGAGGACAGAAGAGACTGTCCGATCCCCTAGAACTAGAGTTACAGACAACTGTTAGCTGCCACGTGGGTGCTGGGATTCGAACCCTGGTCTTCAAGAAAAACCAGTGTTCTTAACTGCTGAGCCATTTCTCCAGCCCCTATTTGTTATTGTTATTTTATATGTATGGGTGTGTTGCCTGCATGTACGTAAGTGCACCTGTGTCATGCAATGCCTGAAGAGGCCAGAAGAGGGCATCAGATCCCCTGGAACTGGGGTCATAGGCGGTTGTTAGCCTTCATGTGGGTGCTCGGAACAGAACCCAGGTCTTCTACAAGAGTGGTCAGTGCTCTTAACCACTGAGCCATCTCCCCAGCCCTTTTGTTTGTGATTTTGGGACAGGGTCTTGCTATGTGTCCCTGACTGGTCTGGAACTTGCCCTGTAGCCCAGGCTGGCCTCACATACAGGGCCTGCTGCTTCAGCCTCCCAAATGCTGGGGGTATAGGTGTGAGCTGCCACATCTAACCTAGCTGTAGCTTTCTTCTTCTTTCTTCCTCTTTCTTCTTTTGAGTTTAAGGTCTTTTATTATTATTAATATTTTTATTTTATGTGTAGGAATGTATTGCCTGCATGTAGGTAAGTGCACCATGTCATGCAATGTCCGAGGAGGTCAGGAGAGGGCGTCGGATCCCCCTGGAGCTGGAGTTACAGACAGTTGTTAGCTGCCATGTGGATGCTGGGATCCAAACCCAGGTCTTCTGCAAGAACAGTCAGTGTTCTTAACCGCTGAGTCATCTCTCCAGCCCTAGTTTAAGGTCTTTTATAGCCCAGGCTGGCCTAAAACTCACTGTGCATCAGAGGTTAAACTTGAACGTATGATCCTCCTACCGCTTACATTTATGTGGTGCTGGGGCTGAACCCAAGGTTTCCTGCATGCCAGGCAAGCACTGTTCCAAATGAGCCACAGCCTCAGTCCTTTTTTAAATTTGAGATTGAGTTTCACTAAGATGCTCAAACTGCCCTTAAACTTGTGATCCACCTGCCTTAGTCTCTCAAGCACTGAGATTACAGCCCACACCACCAGCCTTCATCCTAATTTCTTTGCTTGGCTTTAAAGTATGTGAGGGCTTTCTTTTCTTTTAAGATTTTTTACTTTTTAGCTCAGGCTGTTGTTTGGGGGGGGGTTCCTCCCTCCTTCCCTCCTTCCTTCCTCCCTCCCTCCTTCTTCCCTTCCTTCCTTCCTTCCTTCCTTCCTTCCTTCCTCCCTCCCTTCCTTCCTTCCTTCCTCTCTCGCTCTTTCTCTCTTTCTTTCTTTCTTTCTTTCTTTCTTTCTTTCTTTCTCTCTCTCTCTTTTTCTTTCTTTCTTTCTTTCTTTCTTTCTTTCTTTCTTTCTTTCTTTCTTTCTTTCTTTCTTTCTTTCTCTTTCTTGAACCTGGTTCTCTCTGTATAGTGCAGCCTGGCCTGGGACTTGGGATTCACTATGTAGCCCAGGCTGGCCTCACTGTCCGCTGGCTTGGCCATCTGAGTGCTGGGATCAGAGGTGTGACCCATTGTTTGTTTTTCCATGCTACTGGGCCCATGGCAAGCACTTTTACCTGCTGAGTCCCCTCGTCGTTCCCAGGATGAAGTTTGAGGAGGAAACAGCTTTGTGAAGAATGCACAACAGACCTTCCAAATGACATTAATTTCCTGAATCATAGTAAAGGTGTGGCATCTCAAGGCATTTCTGGGTTAGAGGAAATTTTGAGAAGGCATCTAATCCTGGAATTAGAGGGACAAGTGCGTCAGAGTGAACTGCTGAGCCATCTCTCCAGCCCCAGAATCCCCTTTGGCATGTCTGAAGGCAAATTCTTAGGTTGTGCCCTAGAGACTCCAACAAAGATTCCGAAGAGCAGCCCAGAAATCTGTCCTAGCAGCTCCCAGCTCACTGTGGTACCCAGTCTAGACACACTGCTTCCCTACTGTAGACGGGAATCCTGCCTGGCCTGACCTTGTCTAGGAACAAAAGAAATAATTGATTGATGCCAGGAAACAATTAAATGCCTGTTGTGCACTGGGCCTGAGGTGGCAATCGCCAGCTCTACCCTGGAGGGACTCTTGTGCTAGGTACATCACTTAGAAGCACACCATTCAGCCGGTGGGTTCCAGTAGGACCTTAGAGATCATGAACCAATCCCATCATTACACAGTTGGGGAAACTGAGGCTCAGAGAGGGGAAGCAACAAATTCAAGATTACAGGGGTGAACATGTAATTTTGATGTGTTGATTAAAAAAAAGAAGCAACTGTATTTTGCGGTCCCCAACTAGCTGAGGGGTACCCCATAACCTGCCCAAGAAAGGAGGCTAAGTTCAAAGTGCCAGCACATCCAGGCTACTGTGCCTTCTGTTTGCTACTACTGGGATTGAACCCAGGACCTCATGCATGCTGGTTAAGCAGTCTAATACTGAGCTAGCCCACTCAGGTATCTCTTTTGGTTTGTTCTGAGACAGGGTCACACTCTGTAGTCGAGGCTGGATTTGAACTTTCTATAAATCATTTTGCCTCAGTCCTCCGAGTTTGGGGATTACAGGTGTGAACCACCACACCTGGCTCTCACGCTCTTGCTTCTGCCCTAAGCCTATATTTGTTAGATGTTCCTAAAAGTCTAACTTCAGATCTTGCTGAAATCTAAGTCCTTGGTATCCAGGGCAGGACCCTCCCGAGGTCCTGGGTTTTTCAGGCTTGGGATCGGGCTGCATCCTGGGTGCTGTTGGGCAGGGGGACACCACGATGGTCTCTTGCACTTTGGAACCCCGGTTGAAGGAGACTGCCTCCTCGGTTCTTGCCGCTCCTGTCCAGGCTTGCTTGGGTCTCTGTTCGCTCCTGGGGCCTGGGGAGGGGGAGCCCGAAGGGGAGGGTTCGTCTCGCCCTAGAAATCCCAGTCGCCTTGCCATTGGCTAGGCAGACCCCGGCCTGGCCGCGGATTGGCCATCGCCGAGGGCTTGAAAGGTGGCTGGGCGCTTCGGACACCTCAGACCGACGGTGGCCCAGGATCCCTGAGCGTCCAGGGCGGCCCGAGACGCGCCCAGCCCAACCCGCCATGGCCCGGCTCCTCCGGGCATCCTGCCTCCTGTCCCTGCTCCTGGCCGGCTTCGTCCCGCCCGGCCGGGGACAAGAGAAATCCAAGGTGAGCGAACCTCCAGGGGCGCAGGTCGCGGTGTGCTGCGCCAAGGTGCCCAGCGCGCACCGGGCGCCTCCTCCTCCCGGGCTCCCTTCCAGAGGACGCCGCGGGGCGCGCACCCTGCCCTGCCGCGGGGACCCCGGCTTGTCAGCCTCGGGCCCTGCACCCTTCCATCTCACCCAGCCCTGCGTGCTGCAGCGTGCAGAACCAACCCAGAGAAAGCCTGCCTGAGTCCGTGCGCTCTTCCCCATTGCCACCTCGGGGTCGCCTTGCCACGTCCATTCGTGGAACCAGTCACCCCCACCCAGTGGGCAGTGGGTGGGTGTGGGGTTGCCCCAGATAGGAGACTGCAGCTGGTGCCTTATAGTCCTTTCGGAGCCTTATAGTCCCTTCGCCCATCCCGGGGTGCTGGAAGCAGAGATCTGTGACGCGAAGAGCTTTGGCTTGGTGGTCCAGAACACTCAGGATCCTAAGTCCACATCGCTTTCTGGGCCTTAGTTTTTCCATCTGCAGGGTGGGGCTGGAGGGAAGAGAGGAGACGCTTGGAGAAACCGTGGGATCCGCCAGCTCTTCCTCCTACCCACAGCTCACTAGCCAGCCGCCTAGTAAACGCTGTAGTTAGGAGAAAAACCACCCTAGGACAGGCAGAGTCCTCCCGGGGCCTCCTTGTGGGAACTTTGGCTCCAGTGGGGATGATCCAGCAAGCTTATCTCCTTGGTCAGTTATGTGCTGGGTGGGCTCTGTAGGCCTCTCTTCTTCCTCAGGGTGGGGAGGCAGAAACCAGTAGAGACAGACGGAAAGAAAACTGTCTCCAACTTGGAGACACATGTACAGGATGCTAGACCTTGGGTGGGCTCTAGCTTTGAGTTTCTGTGTTTCTAAAGTCGTCTGGTCGTCATTAAATTCTGTGTGCCTCTCAGCACCTAAGGGTGGTCCTTGTTTCTAAGCCCCTTTCTGCCCTCAGCCCTAAAGATGGGGTGGCTTTAAAGCCTTTCTCTCCAGCCCAATTCCTAGGCACTTTCTGGGGCAGGAACAGGGCAGAGTTCAAGATTACGGTGTGGAGTAGAGGTCAGGGATGACTGGGCAGGAACCCTGTGCCCTCAGTGTGGTGATAGCTAGATTGGGGCGGGATTGAACCCTTTCCTAAGGAGGTGGCGGGTAAGAGTTATACTCATCCTAGCCCTGCACTGTCCACAGAATGGGGGAGAGAGGAAGGAGTCCAGAGAGAACAGTGAGAATGGTCTAGAAAAGTCTTTTAGGGTGAAGTGTGATCTTATCTGACACAGCCAGCAGAGCCTTGTGGCTCATGACAGGTGGGGCATGCCCAGCTGGCCTCCCAGGTCTTTACAGCTGACATGCTACAGCTCTGGTTTCTAGGACTCATTACCCAGATTCAAGACAAAAGGATAGTGAGGGGATGTGTGCAGTGAACCCAAGGTGATGCAGCTCCAGAGATGTCCTCCTGACTCAAAGGGAGGGGTGAGGACAGAGGCGACTTTGCCTGGGCCCTGCTTACAGCTGCCCAGGGCCCCAGTTCTTGCTCTGCAAGAGGCTGTGCAGAACTGGAGACGAACAGCTGCTGACGTGGAATCCTAGTAACCGCTGGTTTCTAGGTGACTGCACAAGACAGAGAGCATCATGGAACCACAGACTGACATCAGGACTGAAGGGCTCTTAAGTCGGCCCTGAATCCCACTGTATCTTACGGTGGATGGAGCTGAAACCCTGAGAGGGGGAGGCATGGCTGTAGCCAGAGGCATGGCTGAACCCACAGACCCAAGTCTCCTGCCTCTCAGGCCAGTCCTCCATTCGCAGCAGCACTTTGGTGTGATAAAATGGGAGCAGAGAAGACACAGGCCAGTATCCGTAGGTAGCCAGGAGCCTGGATGAATGTCATCACTCCTCCCTTGTCCCTGTGGCCTTTCTGCTGTCTGCCTCCTTGTTGGAGGCCAGAGCCATGGGATTCTATGGGTCCAGAGGTGGGAAGGGGGTTTAATGGAGGCTGAGCCGGTGAGAGTAATCTGTGGTTCCCTTACCACAGATTACTGACCCTTGCTAGCCTGGGCTCCCAGCATGAGCCTCAATCTAGCCCCGCAGAAAGTGTGGATGTTGCTTATTCCTTATAGCAGCTAGCAAGCATCTAAGGTCATTCCTTACTATGGTGGAGGAATCTTAGGCCCTTGCTACACAGAGTAATCTGTCTCCTGCTTGCCTAAGTCCCTTCTGATCTACCAATAGACTCTCAAAGCCTTGTGGACTGGGGTTGAGATGGCTCAGTGAGTAAAAATGTTTGCGTGAAAGCAAGAGGACCTGAGTTCAAATTCCCAGCAGCCATGTAAACGTTGGACATGGCCATGTGTGACTATAACCCCGGCATTAGGGGGGTGGAGACAAGAATCTAGGAGTTCATTGGCCAGCCAGCCTAGCCCAAATGGTGAGCTTCCAGTTCAGTGAGAGACCATGTCTCAACAAATAAGTTGGAGAGGGCCAGCAAGATGGCTTAGTGGGTGATGGTACTTGCCACCAAGCCTAAGTTGTGTTTGATTCCCAGGACTCATGTTGTAGGAGAGAACCAGCTTCTGCAAGTTGTCCTCTGACCTCCATATGCATGCTGTGGAACACACACACACACACACACACACACACAT